ACCCAAAGAAACCTTAAAGAAATCCTGATAAGAACCCCCTACATGAAACCCTAAATGAAGCCCTAAAGAAACCCTCAATGAAACCCTAAATGAAACTCTAAAGAAGCCCTAAATTAAACCTTAAAATGAAACCCTAAATGAAACCTTAAAATGAAACCCTAAATGAAACCTTAAAATGAAACCCTAAATGAAACCCTAAATGAAACACTAAATGAAAGCCTACAGAAACTCTCAAGAAACCCACATGAACGGTTGAAGTACCAAAATGTAGCAAATACCATGCAAATGAAAGGTTGAAGTGCCAAAACGTCGCAAATACCATGCAAAATGGAAGGCAAACATTGCCTGTAGCAAATACCATGCAAAATGCAAAGTAACCATGCCACAATCTAGCAAATACCATGCAAAATGACAGATTCTAGTTCCAAACTGTTGCAAATACAAGGCAATTGGTGCCAGGAAAGAAATCCCCAAAAAAATCCAAAACCTGAGCCAAAATCAAATCCAAAAACTATTCTGAACCCTCAATGAAGTACTCCGGTTGTAGGTCCGCCTTGATGGCAAGCGTCGCCCTGAGGCAGGGTAGTCAGTTTTTCTCCACATTTTGGAGGCAAACAGATGGAAGAACAGATTCTCATCGGTAGATGGAAGTGGATCACCTAGTCGTATTTGATGATTTTTGATGACCATGAATGGATTTGAGGGTTATCACAGCGTTATCTTAATGGTCGAAGATCGTGGCGCCCCAAGCAAGATGCTGGAACACGGGCTCCGATGATGTTGCTACGGAGATAGCCATTTTCGGTGCCAATATTAGAGGGCTATAGCCAGGTAGAAGGCATAAATCCGTTGGGTATCGCAGTGTGCAGAATGTTATACACAAAGTAGTGTTTTTCAGAAATCAGATCAGGACTTTTCATATGCTCGTCCAAAACTTTTGTGAGGTCAAAGGTGTGGACAGCCAGGTTATGTCGCAGTTGAATGCGCCCAAAGCTGAAATTCGGAGCAGACTGCCGGGAAAACGGTGCAGATTACAGATGTCAAATTTGGCAGACTTCTATTGCATTGAGGCATGTAATGGTCATGGTTGACTGTTGGAAGATGTGTGAATTGGGACTTTACTACATGCATGCTGTCCAGCATGCACAGATCATATATTTATATAATATATAAATATACACACACTCGGTTTCACTCATTATCAGCATCATGGTAATGGAAACTTGCCAAAGCCGCCTGACACCAACATCCTTTTCGGAGTGAAAACCGGTCCAGCTACGCCCAGGCTATGGCAGAAGGTCGAGGAGCTTGAAGACAAGGCAAGCTGTTGGCCGACATGTCAAGCCGAATATCATTTGGTGCACAGTGTATCTATCTATCTATCGATCGATCGATCTATCTATCTATCTATCTATCCATCCCATCCATCCTATCCATCCGATCCGATCCATCCGATCCATCCGATCCATCCTATGTATCCTATGTATCCTACCTATCCTACCTATCCTACCTATCATATCTATCCTATCTGTCCTATCTGTCCTATCTGTCCTATTTGTCCTATCTGTCCTATCTGTCCTATCTGTCCTATCTGTCCTATCTGTCCTATCTATCCTATCTATCTAATCTAATCTATCCAATCTATCCAATCTATCCAATCTATCCAATCTATCGAATCTATCGAATCTATCGAATCTCAGCTATCTAAGCCCTCTAAGCTATCTAAGCTATCTAATCTATCTAAGCTATCTAAGCTGTCTAAGCTATGTAAGCTATGTAAGCTATCTAAGCTATCTAAGCTATCTGAACTATCTGAGCTATCTGAGCTATCTGAGCTATCTAAGCTATCTAAGCTATCTAAGCTCTCAAGCTATCTAAGCTGTTTAAGCTATCTAAGCTATCTAAGCTACCTAAGCTATCTAAGCTATCCAATCCTATCCTACCCTACCCTATCCTACTATCTAATCTATTCTAATCTATTCTATTCTATTCTATTCTATCTTATTCTATTCTATCTATTCTATCTATTCTATCTATTCTATCTATTCTATCTATTCTACCCTATCTATCGTATCTATGTTATCTATGTTATCTATGTTATCTATGTTATCTATGTTATCTATCTTATCTATCTTTCCTATCTTATCTATCTTATCCATCTTATCCATCTTATCTATCTTATCTATCCTATCTATGCTATCTATCCTATCTATCCTATCCATCTTCTCTATCTTATCTATCTTCTCTATCTTAGCTATCTTCTCTATCTTATCCATCTTTCTTATCCATAATATGTTATCCATAATATGTTATCCATCTTATCGATCTTATCGATCTTATCGATCTAATGTATCCTATCTATCCTATCTATCCTATCTTATCCTATCTATCCTATCTTATCCTATCTTATCCTATCTTATCCTATCTTATCCTATCTTATCCTATCTTATCCTATCTTATCCTATCTACCCTATCCATCGTATCTATCTTATCAATCTAATCTATCTATCTATCTATCTATCTATCTATCTATCGAATCCTTTCCTTCTTCAGTTGGAGCAAGTGCTGTCTAGTTCCTGCCAAAGCACTCTTGACCGTTTGATTGTGTCAGAGTGCGGTGCTCCTCCTTGGGTGCCTTTGGTCTTTTTGCAGAGGTGGAACGAGAACGTTCTCAGAAGGAAGAGCTGCGTTCTGAAAAAGAAGAATTGAGGCCAGTTTGTCAGTGTCCTCAATGGGTACGTTGGCAACAACAACAACAACAACATATTTTCCACCACGCTCCATCTATTTTTTTAAATGATCGTTGTTTGATTTCTGCTGAAGGAGAGAGAATCAGCAGCTGCAGCATCGCCGAAGATCTCAGTTCTTGTAGCGGTCTTGCCAAGTCAGGGTGAGTGATGTGCTGCGTGGGAGCGTGGTGTGGAAGCATTTGGAGGGATCTTGATATTGGTCAGCCTGATGTGCTGTTGAGGTCTGGAAGTGCTGATGGTTTTGGGACCTAGAAATTCTGCGGCCATCGTTGCACAAAGTCGCTGAATGGTGAGTGGAGAAACCGCACTCCCAGACAACTGTAAAGAAGTATCCCAGCAATTATATCGGTGGGGCCCATGTGGTTCAAAAAATTGGACATCGACTCTGGGTGTGTGAAAAATGTGCAGTTCCGCCTAAAGGTGCCAAGTTCGGACGGGCTGGTTTACGAAAAAACAGGTAATCCCACATTTTTCATACCCAACAGGCACATCGCAGGTTGAGGGTTTCTCCTGAAACCAGTGTTGAGGTGGACCCGGTGCATGGGGGTGCCAGCAGCGTTCCTGTCGAGGACAAGCCATCCCTGATGGGTTCTGTTGGACAGCTGTGTTCGTCCTGTGCCAGGAGCCTTCTTGGTCTGTTACCAGAAGTCCACCGATGCAGGAGTTCTGATGGTGTTTGCAGATCATGGTCAACTTAGACATTGTAGATGGCATGCCCCTCGTGAATAAACATGCCAGCCTTTTTGGTTTTTAAGCTCCCCAGGTAGGAGTCAATGTGCCACCTGTCTCCGTCCCTTGTCTCCGTCCCCTGAGTATCCAGAGCAATCATGGTGCCCTTGGCACGCCTCAAAACCGACATGTAAAACCATGCTCCTGAGTAAAACTTCAAGTAGTACCCCATGATTCCATGATATGCAATCCGTGATTCCTAGGTATTGACAGCATTCCGACATTCCTATGTTCCGCGGGGATGAACTGGTCCAGGAGCGTCGCGTGTCAGATGTCACACCCATTGTTGCGTTCTGTCCTCGGGCATCTTTGACTTCAAGTGTGGACTTTGTCTTGACGTCCTTTCTTGCATGTTATTCCAAGACCATAGCCTTCCCTAGTCACCATATTACATAAATCTGATCAAATCTTGCTAGAATAGTCATTTCAGAAATTTCAGGTGCAAACTGGTTTCGAACGCCTTTCCCGATTTGTTGAGGTCCCATTTCTTACTTCCCACAGTGCCAAGGCCCAGCCCTCCGAAGTCCCTGAATGCCTTCCGGCAGGTGCCGTCAGATGCTGTCCCATCAACCGGCACTACTTGTGAAATGCTGCATGATGTTGATATTGTGTATACGAGGGTGGTTTAAATTTGCGTTGTCACCCTGAGTTTTCTTTATCACCAGTACAAGCTTAACTGTGGAGTTATTTTTCTTACCTCAGCCTGTTGTGCTCAATCAGCAGCTGATTTACGGATCGTCGACCCGTCGACAAGTGACCTGACCTGAACAGTTCGTGACCCCAATGACGACTGATGGTCTACCCCATCAGGTTTTCCAGAAGATGCTTTCCTGTTGGGACGGATGGAGAGCGTTTCTCATGCCAAGAACAAAAGGAATTGGGGTTCGCCAGCCGTCCACAAACCATGAGTTCTACCGCTCACCGTTGTTGACTCAAGTGCTAGCTTTTGTTACTCAGACTCCAAATCCAATTCTTTGTTGGTTAGAGCTCTTTTTCCCCGTTACAGGAAGTCGCGAAGTCTGTTGGTGAACTCTCCATTTTGCAGGGTCAATGCCCACTTGTGTCGGCTAGATCCTCCTTCACTTTTGTTTCAAACGTTCAATCTGCGTTTCTGTACCTGCAATCCGAATGTTTGTTTCTTCAATCCCCATGTTTCTGAAGTTTTCAATATTTGTTGGATAACAGTGACGCCCCAAGCTGCAGAGGCAGCTTTGTTACGGGTATGTTTCTAAGGTCTATCGCAGTAGTTGACGAGATGCACCTCGGAAGCCAAGGTCTTTTCTGTGTCGAGAGGGCCCAACTCTATGGGGATTGAAACAAGAAAATCATCGGGGAAATTTAACCAAGAAATGAATGCGGGACTAAATACTGTATATACTCAAGAAACACAAGTAGGAGTTGGAAAACAAACACTGTGGACTCAATCTAGAAAACCATGGGGATTCGAGCAAGAAACTAAATTTTGACCAACAAAACGCGGGAATAACACAAGCCACGAAAATAGGGATGCTGGAAAAAAGGATGTCCACAATCTGTTGTTCTTTCTTTGAAGCGAGGTTTTGCGCTACCTGCTGTGCTGCACCGGACAAGAGTGAGCTGGACATCGGGAAACCTTTGGTGGAGGCGGTTGACTGGTGCTGGGCTCATCATTCCCCCTGCATAGGATGGGATCAATCTGCCTCAATTTTCTGGAGCTTGCCAATCATCGCTGGTTGTTGGTTTCATGTGTCTTCTCCCCCCTCGGAATATGAAACCCAAGTGACCAGTGTTTTCAGCTGGGCAAAAAGGATCTGATGTGGTGTAGAAAGCTCAAGAGGACGAGACAGTCTGCAACATTTATACGCAAGTGACAGTGTTTGGACCCTATGTTGGAACCAACGAAGCCGATATGTGCAGGCCAAAGGCGTTTTGGACAGGCTGCTTGGCAGAGGTGATATGGGCTGTGCACCTCTGGTTTGAATCCCCCGAGACTGGAAAAATGGGCATAAGTCAAAATGAGGTACGTCGAAACGAAGGACGATTGTACTAACTAACAAATCTGCACAGGACTCAAATCTGCGGATCCCTTGATCAAAATTCTTGACCCATCCCCAAATGACTTCTGATTTTCATAATTTTGGCGTTTTTTTTTGAGACTGGAAGCCCAACTGGCCTGGACATGCCAGACTTGAGGCATTGTGAGCATGTGAGGCATTGAAATTCCGGTTCCTCGAACGTAATAAGTGACAAGTGTAGTTAGCTTAAACATGCAAGTCATGAATCTTTGACTGATTTGGCCAAGATTGCAGACCTTGCGACCCTCAGATTTTGAGATCATTTTTGGTGCTGTCCTTTTTGGGTTTTGACCCATAACCTGATGGCTTCTCTGATACAACACTTATTTGTTTTGATGCGCCCAGGGACCAAGTGAAGCTTGCAGAATCTGAGCTGCAAGACGTTGTGAATTGAGACATGCCAGGGATGGATGGGACTCATGCTTCCACGCACAATTTAAGTTTGGAGTAGTTTAAGATTGAAATGGTTTGAGTTGTACTTCAGCACAATTTTGGGATTCAAGAGAAACTAAGCAAAAAGAAAGCATCAAGAAGAAACCACCAGAAATGGCAACACAAAGTATAAAGATGCAATAAGATGCATCCCCATCTTGGAGTAGGATATCGAATGGGAACCTCGATGAGTTGTTTGACTTAGTCGACCATCTAAAAAATGAAGATGATCGACCATCTAGAATATTCACCCCGCTTCGCGTGGGGTGGCCGCCCACACCGCAGGTTTATTTCGGTCCGTGAGAGGGGCTAAGGGCGGTTTTCCCCCGTGGGGGCTCTTCAAGCTAAGAAGTTTCAATAAGAAATCCTTCCAAAACATTGTTTTTGACAGTGTTTTTCCAATGTTTCCAGTCAAACAGACGGTAATTTACACGTTTTTTGCCATAAAGGCAGTAAATCCTTCCAAAACATTGCTTTTGACAGTGTTTTTGTAATGTTTCCAGTCAAGCATACGGTAATTTACACGTTTTTTGCTATAACGTCAGTCCAAAACACTTGTTTTTGCAGTGTTTTCAATGCTCTGGCATCCAAAAACCCTGCAAAATCTTGCTATGTACAATGTTTTTTTCATTTTTGGCCGTTTTTCCATTGCCGGAAAGCTACCAAAATGACCCAAAATTCCATTTCAATACCCTCTTGCGCTCAGACACCCAAAAATCCTCGAAAAATGTCGAAAACACCACCGTATTCTGGTCTCGGTGCGAAACCGTCTGGTCTCGGTGCGAAACCGTTTTTGGGCCCCCCCCCCCAGCTAAAGCTGATATAGCGACTGCTATATTAACAAATGTCATTGAGCATTTAGTGTTGCTGTTGCCCCCCAATAAGCACGCCTTCACCGCCAAAGCGGTGTGGGCGGATTTCATCTACTAAGCTACTACTCTCCAGGGTGACTTCATGTTCCGAACGGCTTGAAGATCTTTGGCTCCAGGACTCTGCCGTTTTCGATGTGAAGCTGACCTTTGAGGCGAGTTGCTGCGGTGAGTTTGTGGAAGTTGGGCCGGGGGTTTGACCCATGGACCTTGGGAAAAGCCGTGGCCTTAGTATGGAACTCCTAAAGATGGATCCGAAATATGACTTTCCAAGCGGATTTGCGCGCATGCACCCAGCGAGACCGTCTTGAATAAAACATCTCAAATAAACATGTTGGCTTGTCTGCAACTAGGGTAATCCCATTCCATCCCATGAGTTATCATGCATTTCCTCATAAAAATGGCCATAGATTGGGGATTGTTGGGGCATCCATATTGGGACAGTTTGGTCAGGGGCGGTCCCACGGCCTCAACATCGACACGGCCAATGACGAGCAAGCGGTGGTCAAGGAGCCATCAAATTATCAGCTACTCGCCTCACTCGCCCAGGGTCACAGGATTTTGATCGCCATATCATCCATATGGACAGAACTAACATGAACTAACCACTTTTTCACACTTTTTCTACTCATTGTATCTGACTGTTTTACTCTGCTCATCTCTGCTCCAAGTCGAGCAATCGTTGCTCCACGATCCGTCTCTGCCTTGTCCGGTGCTCGCACCGTCAGGACGTCAGTGGTGCAGCACTCACTTGGAACCGAAATGCTTCGCCATCTCAACAGATCAAGGCGGTGTAATGATGCCGTGGCGACATGGGCTGTACGACATGGGCTGTACGACATGGGGACACACACACACACATTATATACATATGTGTATATAATTGTACGTATGTACATATATATATATATATACATATGTATACATACACGGATATACTTATACACTTATATCTATACCTACACTGTATGTTACCATATATCATATCCATGCATTTCCACGGAGGTGTGATTCATTGTTTCCACAGATTACTGTGGTTTCCCGCGGGTCACCACGAGGCGGCTGACCTGATTCTCAAGGTGAATGGCGAGCCCGTCACAGGCGACTGGTTAGTTCATCGAATCCAAAGGAGCCCAGTTTATGTTAGAAATTCACTGAGATTCACCGAGATTCACATTGTCAAAGCCTTCCTTCTGTTCAGATTTTACTATTGGAAGACACATGGCCTGTTTGGCTGGGTCAGCTGGTGACCAAAGCAGGTGAGACTGTGCACAATAAGCTAGCTGATGCTGCCCCGTGACTGGGCTGCAGAGGAACAAGGAATCAGACATCTGCGGTTGAATCCGGTTGAATAATTTCTTGAACTGTTTCATTGGACATTTCTAGTAGGAAACCACATCTGTTGCAGGCCCAACCACCATCAAACCACCTAATAAATTGCAATCACCAGCGTTTCATTCCCGGTGTGAGTTCTTTTTGTCAAAACCCTAAGTGCAGCATGCACTGGATGCTGCTGATGGAAGCAAGTTCTGGGTATGAGCCAATGTCGGGCTTGGAAAGCTTCATGCTTCACTAGGGCTACAGGGCGAAATTTTGCCACAATTGTTTGGTCCTTTTGAACATTTTTCAAAGAGGTTTGAACCAGACATGTTCCGGCCAGGGAAGTTACTGTTACGCTTCAGCATGCGGTTGAGCGTAGTTTGGCCTGGGTCCCCAGAATGATGGCAGCCACTGAGACCTATATACATGAGCAGTTTTAGGAGGCAAGTGAAACTCCAAGGAAAGCAGTGTTGCTTAATAGGCTTGGAGATGGCTTTTATCGGACTTTGCACATCCGAAATCCAAAATGGCAAGCCCAGGATTTGACCATGTATTTTTCTTGAAGTTTGGTGTCTGGCTGTCACCAATGTCTCTAGCCACTCTAGCTGTCAATCTGCTTCCGAGACTTTGCAAAAGCCTGGACAGCTTGGGATCACCGTGAAGTTCGCGCAGCTTGGCCGTCCACCGTTGCTGCGATTTCCAGTGGATTCGTCCAAACCACTGCAATGGCAGGTCATTTTTGGCTAGGTTTTGGTAAGTTTCTGGACTATCATGTAACATGACATTTGTACTATCCGACGTTTTGGCGTAATATCAACGTAGTCACAAAGGTTTTGATCCCCAACATTTTGGATGGTTGCAAACCCAAAATGACGAGCCATGGGTGAATTGACCTTTTAGACCTGGCAGGGTTCAGTAAAGTGTTGGCAGATCTCAGGAAGTCGTCGCACGGGATCTGGATCGCGACATTGGCACCAGGCTGGCTGCTTCGTAAAGGTTTTTTCTCTCAAACGGTTTCTTTTGATATATCCAAAGCTTGGCAACTGCGCAGCCCTGGCAGGACTTGTTCAGGATTGGAACGATAAGCATCCCGAACAGAGCGTCGCGGTCAATGTAACTTGGCTAAAGGTTCCGGAACACTTCGACTTGTCCCAAATCTGGAACCCTGAAAGATTGATGCAGCCACTGCACATATTCTGTCTTGGTTTGGATTCTTGGAAGACATTTCAATTCAGTTTGAGTAATGTAATAGTCATAGTCTTTTCAGATTTGTCTCAAGGGGTGGGACATCGCGGTTTTGCCATGTTGTCCCAGGACCGCATCATTTCTGTCCCTTGGTGTCAGAATTTGGAGCGCGATGTCTTTTAGCTGGAAGGGTGACAGATGGTAGGTCAATCTGTTTGAAGCGCTGCACAATCCGTATAGAGTCTAGAGCAGCTTAGTGGAAGCCTTGTTTGTTGATTGCCGCACTTGGAACTAGATGACAGCGGCTGATAGCGACAAGTGCTGCCAGTGCTGCTAGTGCTGCCATGGGCCCCGATGGCCGAGGTCAACGGTGTCAAGGGGCAATCGCAAGATTTGGTTGCAAAGATGCGGGAGGTATCCGACACCATTGCGCTGGGCTTAGATGGGCTCAGGCTTTCCTATTTCTGAGGCGTGTGCGCTCAAGCATGACAAGTCTGATAGGGATCATTCTTAGCCTCACCCCTCTGCCTTTTTGGCAACGGAATGTAGGTCAAAATTTTGCCATTGGAAATCACGGGACCCATAAATATGCCGGATGTCCCTCTTGGTATGGGTGCCCCGTTTCGACGCGATACCCCATAGGAAGGTGTTGGACGTTTGCTGAGGCTCTTGTCGTGATGCACTACGAATGAAAGAGCAAAGCTCGAAGGAAATCCTTGTGCCGACGCCAGCTCACAAGTCCTTTGAAATATTGGAACCTGAATGGCTACTGTAGCAATCGCCATTATATAATTTCATTATGTTTTCCTTAATTTCAGGCAAACCGTGACATTTTGCCGTTCTTACTTTTTCAACCCAAGCCAAAGGACATTGGCTGCCAGGGACGTTTCATTCAATGCAAATGTGATGAAATCACAGTTTGATAGCATCTTTCTTGGGCGGTCTCCGGTCCCGATCAATGCATTTTCCAGCATCAGCCATCCACCAGCACATCTGACCTTACACGACATGCTGCGACCGGGGTCATTCTGAGTCGTCACCTTCTTTAAGCTTCAGAATCCCGTGCAGATGGGCGACCTCGTACGACCATTGGTCTGAGGTCTGGGTCTTGTTGTCGCAGTCAAGATCATGATTTGCATCTGTACGATGACTCTCTCGGAAGTATGACGAAATTGATCATTTTGCTGTGTGAGTGCACATATTTTAGCTCTGATAACTAAGATTCTTGTAGCGTGGTATTTTTGGATACTTCTGAGGAGGTAGCGTGGATTCTGGACTCCAAAGCCAAAGGCAATCTAATGCGCTGTCAAAAGCGTGCTGCACTGCACAGCGCTCGGTTGTTTTGGGAGCAGTGCCGCTGTTGACTCCTGAATTCTGCCTTCCACAAGTTTCAAGGGATCTCCAACCTTCCCAAGGGGCCAGTTGGAAATCTTGGAGCCCAAGCAGTTCCCATGAATCTCTGCAGGTGACAGCCATTCGACAGGATGCTCCTCGTGAGTTGGTAGCCTGGAGAACTCAGGACGGTGAGCGTCAGTGATACAGCACAGACAGCTCCACCCTGCTGGGACGTTTGATCTCCGTGGCCTTTCAATGCTGTAACACCATAAGATTTTTATTTTCTTTCCAAAGACTGGGAATGCCCAAACACAGCAATTTTGATTGGGAACTGTTTTTCTTGAAAACATGGAATGGAGTAGAGGTTTCCCGCTTAATCGGAAAGTTATGATGATGATGATGATGATGATGGTGATGATGGTGATGGTGATGGTGATGATGATGATGATGATGATGATGATGATGGTGATGGTGATGGTGATGGTGATGGTGATGGTGCTGATGATGGTGCTGGTGCTGGTGCTGGTGGTGGTGTCGGTGCTGCTGCCGCTGCTGCTGCTGCTGATGATGATGATGATTATGATGATGATGACGATGACGATGACGATGACGATGAGGACGACGATGACGACGATGATGATGATGATGACGACGACGATGATGATGATGATAAATGATGATGATGATGATGATGATGATGCTGATGATGATGATGATGATGTTCCTTGGTGTCATGATTGTTCTTATCCTCCTTAGCTCTTATCTTTTATTATCTGTGCTCCATATGGTCCATTATGGTCTATTATTCTATTATCCATCATATGGGGTTTTCCTAAAAAAGGGGTACCCCAAATCATCCAAGTCATGAATGACCATGACTCCGTATTGAAACAAGCATGCTGACTTGGGGTACTCCCATTAGAGGAACCCTCCCCATGTGGTAATTACTACTGTTACTAGCAGTTTATTTTTTTTCCCTCTGGCTCACAGGTGCAATGAAGCGGCGGCCAAGCATGTCAAATTCGAAGCATGGTGAGAAAGACCAGTCAGCCATTCTGTGCAAAATCCGGCCCAATAAATTCGCCTTGGAAATCCTGCTGCATCTTTACACAGCATGCTAGAAACTCTGAGTCAATCTGCACATCATCAGAGCCAGTACCGCTGACAGCGTTGAACGTCGCCTGTGCAAGCGCGCCGCAAAACGCTGGAGGATATTCCTTTAGTTGGGCCGTATAAAATTGTCCTTTGGCGTCACGGCCAATGTTCACACGCTTCGGAACATCTGGGGTGACACGCCACTGAATTTTTGGCGGCTGGTAGATTGGGAAGATTGAGAGCCAACAATTCGGTTGGCTTCATGCTATCAGCTCCTAGCAAACCCTGGGACAGACGAAGCTTCTGCATGCCCGGGAGACCTAAAAGAACCTGGAAGGCATACTCTCATCAGCTGGTTCTGCAGGGTGCTAAAGGATGCCAGCCCGAGCTTGTAGAGCAAGTTCGCCAAGCGCGAGCAAGCAGAACCCCAGCAAGACGTTCCCGTCGATGACCTGGTCAATCTCCCTGAGTCCCAAGGAAGCCAGTTCCCATAAGTCCTGAGCTGAGCGTACTGGACGTGGTCCATGGCGGCCTTGGCGTCCCGGGGACTGTCCATCATCAAGGTCAACAGCCCTAGCCTTAGACCATGTGCAGCAAGGTGGCCCGCCAAGGAAAGCATGTACCCAACCACAGCGTATTCCATGCAACCAATACAGCTGTATATCATTGCGAGACAAGTCCCCATAGTTCTCGTCGATGATGATGTCAAGTGACACAACATGGAGAACAACACCTTCGACAGGGGCCATGAATTGTTCCAGATACCACTGGTAATCACCTACTCGCCTACGGCCAGCAAATGCGTGGAGGACAACGCGCTCTTTGCCAACAGGCAGAGGGATATTCTGCGCAATCCAAACATCACTAGCAGCCGTCAATCGGGAGCACCATTCTGTGTAATGAGTCAAGTCATCAACAGGTCGGATGGCATCACGGAAATCATCTCGCAAAAATGGCCAGTATTCAGGGTCAAGCAGATTATCCACAGCCTTGTAAACAACACGCTGTGAAACTCCAGTGATCATGACAAGTTCCTCACCAAAACCGTCACGGAATGCACGAAGTGTCTGCTGACATCTGGTCCATGAAATGGCAAACTCCTGAATTGCAGCTTCCATCATCTGCTGGAGCAGTGCAACCTCCATCTCAGGGTAAAGAAGTTCCATCCACATGTCAATTAGGTCCGTATGCTCTGGGTCAGGGTCAACAGGTGCACGCACTGGCAAGACCGGGCCCTGAGCCTGTAGGGGTGGAACAAGTCCATCATGCATGCTTTGCGCTTGCTGTTGCTCGATGGAACCGATGCCTGCTTGGATGTCGCTGTGCAGTCTTCTGGCTTGTAAGCCTCCTCGGCAAGCTCGACTCCGCTGCAAGTGCTGTTGAAGTTTGCTGCGTGTGTGATACTCACGAAGACAATGTGCACATTGCGTGCCATGGCATAAATGCCGAACGCTGGCAACAATGGCATGACATTTGAAAAGGTGAGCACCTTCTCCTCCACGACTTGCACATCGCTTTTTGCAGAGCATACAACCAAATTTCATCTGTATATATATATATAGATATATAGCTAAGTGCCTCGGTTGTACACGCGAAACCCAACTCGGCTGTACACATGAGAAAACAATTCAGTTGTGCACGCGGATGCTGATGATTATGATGGTGATGACCGTGATGATGATGATGATGATGATGATGATGATGATGGTTGTGGTTGGTAGATCCTACCCTTTTCTTCCCTAGCCCCACCCCATCCCCCAAGGTTGAAGTGTGATGGTAAGTCGAAGGAAGTGGAGTAGCAGTTGTGTCCCTATAATGAAGTTAAGCAACGGGTGTCGAGTAGCGGTTGTGTCCCTATAATGAAGTTAACTAGTAGCGGTTGTGTTCCTATAATGAAGTTAACTAGCCCCACCCCACCACCCCAAGGCTGTGTGTGTACAACTGAGTCAATTTTGTGTGTACAAGTGAGTCAGAATCCTGTGTGCGCAGCTGAGTCCATTTTGTGTGCGCAAGTGAGGCGCTTACCATATATATATATAAGTACTGTTCCTATATGATGCAAATATATACTATCATATTCATTACCTGTCTTTGTACTATCATTTCCATGATGATGACGACCGCCTTGCTCCACTTCGAGGCACTGCACTCCCGCTCTGCCCCCTTGCGACAGTCCTTGGTGAGCTCCGGAGCTGGGCTAAGATCAGTGGTTGATTCTTTGTGGAGATCTTAAGCCGTGGATATCCCAAAAATCGCTGATTTCATGAAGAAAATGATGGGAACATAATTTTTCAGACCATGGGATGGAGTGGGGTTCCAGATTTTGAGACAACTTCACTTGGCTATGACATGGATGGTTTAGGACTGACATGGCCAGCTTGCTGTGGATGTTGGACCCAATTTTTGAGACATATCCAACTGTTTCAACCAGGGGGCATTGTCATCTGATCTTCTATTCCAGTGGGGAAACAATATTTTGGTGTGTTTGAACCCATTTTTTTAAGACACTCTCATTTTTTGTGTGGTCAGTTTAAGGGTCGGACCACAGCTTTGGCCTTTAGGCTCATTGCGCAACATGAGCACACTGGGAGGTGCAGTGGCGGGTTCAAGCTCTGGGTCTGAGTGGTGCGTCCTTTGCAGAGCAAAGGCCAAACGGAAGCCTGTAACCCCCAGTGCTGTTGAGTGGCATGGGTTAATTTGGTCTATTTCATTTGATGAAGTTTGAGGTATCTGTGCCCATTTCAAATAGTTTC